AGGTTGTTTGGATTAAAGCGAATATTATTGCCATTATGTGCGTTCCAACTAATAACCTTCGCATATATTATCATTACAATCCAATAACAAGCTGCCAAACTATAGGTTTTGCTGAAAAATTTACTAAGAAGCAAGAATGCTGACAGTTTATTTTAACCTGGATGGTATAACGCTTTGTCTTATACATATGTACATCTTTCGAATCATTCCTTTAACCATTAGGCAATTACTTTTTAATTTTTGTCATATAATCACATTCAGTGCATAAAGATGATTCTGAAGAAATACGGTGAATGGTATACTTCTACTGAGCTCTATATACATCATCCACTATCCACTTGTTGATAATGACCCTTTAGGTTGTTACTGACGTTTCTCAGCCACCACTTTTGACACATTAATCATCGTTGACACAAATTTACTGGTCAAAGCTTCAAACATCTTTCTGTAAGATACTTTTAGGTAGATATATCAATAATTTTGAAAAAGGAGAAATTATTTGCAAATATTTTAAAAGTATAGTTCATTAGAATACAGATGAAACAGGTAGAGAGGATACTATCTAATGTCTTTTACAGACTGTTCAAATTTACTAAATCAAAACAGAATTGTTTGTTTAGTCTATTTAAGTAGTTATTGTTGAAAAACCACTAACATGTTTCCTTTAAAACCTAAGAAAACTTAATGATTTACTACTATACCTTCCTTTTTACATGTTTATCAAATTATTATACATAAAATGTGGTAAATATTTTTTAAAACTGAAGGATTATAAAAAGTTACTGTTCCCCTTATATTTTCACCCGAATATCTATTTAAACCCGTTAAAGAGGTTATAAATTTATTTTCCTATACATATGCATCAATATAGTCATTATTTAAAAGAAAAATGTTTGACTTTCTGTATGTTTCCATCAACCGGAGAAACTTAAAGGAAGTTAGCACTTTCACTTACCTAGGCAGCATTGTTTCAACACAGGTGGCATAGGCACAGATGAGGACGTTAAAACAACCAGGATCGGAAAGACAGCAGGACGGGCCTGTTCTCATTAATGTGAAACCTGTGTGGAGATCTACTGCACTACACTACACTACACCCCACTCAGCATAAAGCGTGAACAACATCTGGAATTTCAACACCAATTGAGTCAAGTGAGCCAGTGCAGTGCTTCTATGTGATGGTTGAGAGACTTGGTGGCGCGTCACGAAGAGCATTTCCAACAAACTGCAGACATTGATCAACAACTGTCACCTAGGCTCACTCGATAGTGAAGATCAGATAGAATCCAGAATAAGTGGAATAAGCAACAAGGAAATCTGTCTGGCAAAGAACCAACGAAGAAGGTATGACTCAACAACTACGCAGTGGAAGGAAGTGGAAATGGATTGGGCAAGGGTGACATGGAGGAGATCATGTGAGGAAGAAATAAGAGCTGTAGGCAGTGGTGGAGCCAGGTCCAAAATATTGCAGAGAAGACAGTACAGTTGAGGTGTGCTACTGAATCCTAATGTTCCACTAGGAACCCAAGGGAAAAATAATAATAATATAACTCTGTATCTTCTATTGAATTACATTCAACTTTGACATTGATAAAATTTTTATAACTTCTAAAGCGTTAAATGTCTAGAATCATATAAACTTAATTTATGTAATCTAGGGTGTTAATTGTGGGAACTACAACATCCTATCTATTATATAAGACTCATAGATATAACATTTTTTTAATATTGGAAATGTCAAACTTTCTGTGATCTGTCTTTCCACCAGTGGTTAAGTTCAAAAAAAGTATTATACATTCATACATCAGATAAAGGTCAAACAACTGAATAAAAAAGAATTTGATATAAATCCTTTGCAAACTGAGATATTAATAGAAAAACGAACAATTAGTATCAGATGGTAATCAAAACTTTAAGAAAATATACATATCTAGGGGTCAATTATCGTTCTAGGTCAATTTCTATTGTGAAAGCGTTTCTTAATGAAAATCTAACCTTTCATACACTGAAAAGTTTTTACGAACCTGGTACTAGTTGCCTCAGTCATGAAGTATGATATAGCTGTAAGCACTTTATTTAGGATACCATTCATCTTATTTAAAACTCTGTATATATCACTGTGAATCATTAGATGTTTATCTCTTCCATATGTTTTTCCAGCCATATACATTTTTATGATGTTGCTTGTATAACCCCCTGGTTGACTGGACAGAAATGATCGGTCTCTATTCAGGTATGGGCCCCTGGATGGGTAACTCAATATTGTCTGTCATTTCGACTTTGGTAATAATGATGAATGGTGGCTAGCATTGGAATCAATTAGGACTCGTCAGCTGAATATGTCTACTTCCCAATGTTATTCACTAGGCTAGTGAGTTACGATAGCCACTTTTGTGTGATGGGCATAGTTTATATGGTTACGTGAAACTACAAGCGATTTCATTTATATAGTGGACAACGTCTTGGCGTTTTAGGCGACCGGCTGCCAGTTCAAGACTTAGTGAGACAGAGGTAGGCACATACAGCTAACGAGTCACAAATAGGATGAAATACCCGGGGTGGATTCCATTACTAGCCAAAATCCATCACTGATATGCACATTTCTGTATCATCTTTACGTACGGTAGTGTTCTCAGTGTCGAATATAAGATCTTGTTATTTAATTGACATATTGAATTAGAATAACTGCATCAAAGCATCTTTATTTACGGGCTTTTCTCTGTCAAACACTGATTTGAACTTTCGAAAACAAAACATCAACAGAAAACTTATAGTTTCCACGTAAGCATCAATGTTAGCAATAATAAATAAAGGTAATCACCATATTTTATTACTATTATTTCTTCTTCGACTAGATTGTCGATTTTCTGGAACATGAAAGCTAAATATATTAATCTGACTACATTTTATTTTAATTTCTATTCGTCCTATGGGTTCCGAGTAGAACATAAGGCTTCGGTAGCATATCACAATTTCAATCTTTTTTATCCAGTCTTTTCAACCTGCCTCCCAATTCGAACATAAGCCTTCATTTTTTACTCACACCATCTCCTCTATACAACCATCCTCACACGACAAACTCGTCCTTTACCTTTTGCATTCAACTCGACCACCTGGCCTGCTACGTCATGTCCCCAATCGGTCTTCTCAGTGCATCCATATCCACTTCCTTCCACTGCATATTTGTTGGATGGTAGGTTGTTGGTTGGTTCATTGCCAGCCAGTCAGCCACAGTGAGCTCCTCCTTGCTTATTCCACTTATTCTGACAATCCATCTGAGCTTCACTACCGAGTGAACGTAGATGGCAGTTGTTGATCAATGTCTGTAGTTTGTTGGAAATGCTTTTCGTGACGCGCCACCAAGTCTCTCAACCATCACATAGAAGCACTGCACTGGCTCACTTCACTGAATAAGTGTTGAGAATCTGGATCTTGTTCGCACCTTGTGCTGAATACAGTAAATGTCCACACTGATTTCAGATTAATGAAGTCCTATCTTGCTTCTCCGATCCTGGCTACCTTGACATCCTCGTCTGTGCCCCCGTCACCACCACCTGTAGTTGGAAGCATGTTGTCTACGTAGGTGGGTGGAAGAAACAATTTTCTCTCACATATCTCTCATTGGTGGTGATTGGTGCTTGGTTTTGATGCTGTTGTCGGTTCGGTATCTTCATCACCTCTCTCTTCTCTACCTTCACTTGAAGTCCCGTCTTCGCTACCCTCCCTCTTCCACAAACCTCTTAGTTTTCGCCTATACATCTCCAAGTTTATGTGACATTAGACATGAACCATCAATGAAATCCAAATCCTTCAGGCTCCTCTCATTGGTCCGGTCAGTGTATACCCATCTTCTTGCTCCTCGCAGTTGTCGGTTGCATGATCCAGTCCAGTCGTCCACAATCACGAAGATATTCGATGGTAGTAATCTGATTCCATAATGTGATATTATTAATTGGCCTGTAGACAAATAATGGGTTTTCAAAAGTACTCATCAGGAACTCATAATAGTCGGTGGGATGAGGTTCTGGGATATCTATCCAACACGGTGATAAACAATCATACTTCTTGACTGAAATATTTATTGTCTTGAACCAAATATTTCCAACTGTACCACCTGCAACAATTTTAACACACCAATACTATTAGTGGATTTCAGTGGACATCTTGCACTGGTGAAGACGTCGATGCCTGAAAGTTGTAAATATTGTCTAGCAAGATGATGAAAGCTTCTCGACTAAACAACCAACTCAGAGAACACAATACAACCAAGATCATCCACCTGAGTGAGCTACAAATATTCTCCATTATTTCAAAATTATAGTTGTGACTATAGAGATGAAGGTTGTGTTAGTGTGAAATCAGTGATGATGCATTCTTATTTGCAATGGGATCGTCGACGGAATACAATGTAAAGTGAACAAGTACCGTGAATTAGTGAGTTGTATCCACTTTAAACTACAAATGTTACACTTGTGGAAAAATAAATCTTCAATTGTGACCTTTAAAAATTACATTGAAATTCTGCTGCTCGTGTATTATTGTTAAAGAACCAGTAGGGAGAATCTTTTAGAAACATTTTCGTGTTTTTGTTATCATATTATTATTATTTTCCCCTTGGGTTCCTAGTGGAACATACGGCTTCAGTAGTATGCCTCTATTACACTCTCTTCTCTGTAGTCTTTTAGACCTGGCACCACGACTGCCCACAAGCTTTCATTTCTTACTCACATGATCTCCTCCATGTCACTCTCGCCTCAGACACCCAACTCGTCATTCCCTGTCTGAGTTCCACTCGAAGGCCTGGCAAGTGATCTACCCCAATGGCTTTCTTATTGTACGCTCAATCCATCTCCATGTTCTTATGCATATTTTCTGGTGAATAATATGCCTTTTTATATCTGAATATCGTTAACGTAAATAATGGATTCTTTGAAAATGTCTAACTTATTTCATTGAGTTTATCATTTTTACAAAACTATTGTTTATTTGTTTTGATTTAGCTTAAAATAATTGGCATGAAAAAAGAAGGATCGGGTGACCTGAAATCTACTGCATCATCAGTTCCACAGAATATAAGAGGATTATGGAAACGAGCATTTCAATCCTTAAGGAAGGATAAAGTGAGATTGTTTTTAAGATAATTCAGTGATTTTTTTTTCCCGACTAAAATGATAAATACAGATGGAAAAGACAGATTTCTTGTCAATTTTAACGCATTTATATGACTAAAATAATGCCTACCAAAAATAAATACTTGAACTCGTTTGCTTTAATGATGCTTAAAGTAAGTGGGAAAACAAAGAATGAAGAAGTAAATCGTTGCAGTTCAAATAATTTTCAGGTTCTATTTTCATTGAAGATAGAACATTTAATTGCCTGGGCACGCTTTCCCAGTGTTAAAGAGATCCTAGCTGATTTTTCAATTGCAGTTGTCAATGTTATCATGTGTTGCGTCGTGAGTATGCTTTCTAGTTTTGTCTTTTGATTGTTAATCACTGATTGGTATTTTCGGATCCGATGGTGTGCATCTGTGCTCATCAATTGTACCATTTGCCTTCCACTTTTTTCAACTATTTACCATCCCACTGAACAGTTAATCGGTGGTCTATATCTGACACTCTTCGGCAGAACATGCTGATGTAGGCATTTTATGGAGAAGGAATAGTTGTTCTTTTGTGGAAGCTTGCCTTTTGGAGAAGTCTTCCCATCTTCGAACAACGAAACAACGCTTCACATTGTTCGAAGATCCTAGCTGATTCAACACTCTACAACTAAAATAATTAAATGAACTGATTTTATGGAAAAAAAAATGTCATTTTGAACTGTTTCTCTTTTGATGATTAGGTAAAAGTATGGCAGGGAGTAAACAATTTTCATTTTTGTATCAAAATACAGTAACTGATGGGTTCATAAACTAATAACTGAAGATTATATTTACAATTCTACTTGTCCTTAAAATGGTAAATTTGGTTTATACAGACATAGGAAAGATATATCTTGATTACGAAAAACAAAGAAAATGTTGAGGTCAAACTGAATGCAGTGATATATATATGCGCCTGACATTTCGTCAGTAAGTAACGGTAAAAGTTTAGTCTAAAAGTACATTGAAAACATTCTCTTCCTAGTAAAACAAATGAAATACATTATGTGACACATTTATTACCTATTATGAACTTTTCATCTGAATAAGATTATTATGTTCATGCAGTTTGATTTATTGTGTTGAAAATCAAATGTATCACATGATGATTAACATTGCTTCGGGATATATCAATACATAAAAACTGTTTCATTCATTGAAATTCGACAATATAAAGACTTTTCTTTGAAATGGTAGGGAATATTTGTAGCTCAGGTGGATGGTCTTGGTTGCATTGTGTTCTCTGAGCTGGGTTGTTTATCTGTGGAGCTTTCAGAACAGAAAACATTGAAAAGACTGAAGAATGGGAAAGATATCCTTATACTTCCAGTGGATAAAGGACGTACTACGGTAGTCATGGACAAAGAAGACTACATCAAGAGGGCTTAAGATTTACTCAAAAATGAAAACGTATATCAACTACTTGAAACCAACCCTATCCAAAAGTTCGACAACCAGTTCAATAAAACCTTGAACAAACTCTTCAGAGGAGAAGAAATAACAAAGCGAAGCAAATAGAGGATGAAAACGAATGGACCTCTCCTTCCTTGGTTCTATGGTAGGCCAAAAATACACAAACCAGACATCCTCTACGACCAATAGTCTCAGTTCTGGTAACTCCAACAAACAACATGTCAGGAGAACTTTTGAAAAAACTGAAATACCTCGTTCAATCATGCTAACATTCCATCAAATCACAAAAGCAGAATTCTTAGGAAAGATCAAAGGCATTACCATAGAAAACGACGAGTTAATGGTATCCTTTGATGTCACAGCACTATATACATCCATCGAATCGCAGTCGGCCGAAGGAAACTATATCTCTCCTGCTCAATGAAGACACAAACTTTACAGAACGACCAAAATTTAAATGTTCAAGTTTGATGGAACTCATCGGCCATTGTCTGTCAACATGCTTCCATTTCTATGGCAAGATATACAAACAGATGAAAGGAACTGCAACGAGATCACCCATATCTGGACTAATTGCAGAAGCAGTGATGCAGAGACTGGAAGCCTTTATTCTGCCTGTGATCAAACCAACAATTTGGATTCGCTATGTGGACGATACCATTGTTATCACCAAGAAAGATGATATAGAAAACACCCACAGTTTGACCAACGTTTTCAATGACATCAAATTCTAAAAGGCGAAAGAGTCAGACAACCAACTAGCATTCCTGGATGTTCTGGTCATTAGAACAAATGCGGGGAAGCTGGAAACCCAAGTGTACAGGAAGCCAACACACACTGACCAAGTCCTCAACTACAGTAGCAACAACCCAACAACACACAAAATCAGTTGCGTGCAAACTCTATTCTAAAGAGCGAGAACACACTGCAGCACAACAACTTCAAGGAGAATTGAAGAAAATTATTTGATGTCTATCCTGAAGAAGAACGGCTACCCACGAAACTTTATCACAAGATGCCTATCCCGTACATCATCAACTACAAAGTTGTCCACAGAAATCAACAAATGCATCATCCTACCATAAATAAAGAATATATATGAGAAATCACGACAAGATTACTGAGGTCATTTAGTGGTATTAGTGTGGCTCATAAACAAACAAATTCCCTCCAAACACTATTATACAGACCAAAGGATGCGACAACCAAAGAAGAAAAACCGAATATTATTTACAAAATCAACTCCAATAACTGTAGTCAACACTACATTGGACAAAGAGGCCGCCCTCTTCGTCTTCGTCCACATGAACAGCAATACGCTATTAAATTCACTACTTTTCATCAATCATTTCAATGCATGTGGATAACAACTCTGGACAGGAATTCAGTTTTGACAATGTAGAAATTCTGAAGAGAGGAAACACAAAGAATGTCAGAGAATCCCTAGAAGCCTGGTATTTAGGTCAGTCAGTAATCAATAGATATACGGACATTGATCCGATCTACCAATCAGTGAGAGAAATGATAAACGATAGAAAGGTCAGAGATCAGGTAAAGCAAAGGAACAGCTAACAGGAAAATCTGTGTAGTCAGTGACACAACAATTAAGGGAGACAGTTAATCACAAATCAGTTCGTCAGGTCAAGCTACTGAATCATCCACGGAGAGATACTGACATCTGACTTCACAGTGAAGTTAATGTTGATGATGTCGTCTAGAAAGACGATGAAAGCTCCACGATTAAACAACCCAGCTCAGAGAACATAATACAACCAAGACTTTCTTGTGAATATGATATTGGATAAATGAAGATTGAATGACAGAAATTATGCTTATTTCAGTTATATACTTAGGAACTGATGGAACTGAATGGGAATACACAGTTGCTGAGATATTACTGGAACCAATCAGCATTCACCGTACTAGACTATGTCCAGTCTCGAACGTTAAAGTTTTATGCTTAGCTACTTACTGTTTTGTTCTAGGGATATAATTTGAACAGGAAAATACAAAGAAACTGAAATCCTTATACAAGTCAATTGTAATTGGTTTTTTATATTGAGTATCTGAACTAAATATAGAATTCCATTGTTATCTATCTAAATATGTATGTATCTTTCATTTCACTCACTTGTGCCAGCCAGTGTAACCACTAAAACCACTGGTAAGATTAAATTCTTAAACATAAACGCAACCAATTTCTGGTAAGAATGAACAGAAATCAACCAAAAGTTTTAAGCTAAAAAATCTGAAGGATAATCGAGACAACGTTAAAGAATTCATTCACTATATTTAAGAATATGTATAAGAACCTTTCGAAAACTATCAGTAACTATAGAATTTATTTTGTTGAACTCTTAGCAATACGAAAGTTGAAAGTTAGTGCCTTGTAGTTGAAATTATCTTATTCTGTTTATTAACTGTTTACTGCCACAAATCTGTAAGCTGAGATAACTACTTTTTTCTTTTCAATTTTAATATTTTATCATTACACTAACCTTCACTGTAGATACTAACTTATTAGTTTGAACAATTTTCCATTTTTTCTATCTTTCACCTTCATTTCTATATTCTTTTCATTGAAATCCTCATAGGATAATGTTTTTACAGATTGAATTTACAATGTCTGCAAGTGGATTATTATTATTATTATTAGTCCCTTGGGTTCCTAGTGGAATATAGGGCTTCAGTAGCACGTCTCCAGTGACCTCTGTTATCTGAGATCTTTTGAACCTGGTTCCACGACAGCCCACAAGCTTTCATTTCCTTCTCGCACGATCTCCTCCATGTCACCCTCGGCACCGACGCCCAACTTGTCGCTTCCCATGGGGATTCCACTAGAGGGCCTGACTCGTGATGTCCCCAGTCGGCTTTCTCAGTGTATGCCCAATCCATCTCCACTACCTTCCACTGCATATTTGTTGGGTGATAGGTTGTTGGTTGGTTCGTTCCCAGAGCTCCTTGTTGCTTATTCTTATTATTCTGGCAATCCATATGATCTTCAGTATCGAGTGTGTGTAGGTGGCAGTTGTTGATGAATGTCTGTAGTTTATTGGAAGTGCCTTTCGTAACGCAAGTGGATGCAAGTGGATGCTAATACTTTATTATAAATGTAACACTTGGCAACTGTAGTAGAATTTAATTGTTTATTTGATAATATAACGCACACTGATGTAGTATTATCTACTCAATGGTGTTTTGAGTATAAATTATTGCTGGGGATCAAATCAATGTTACCATACTACGTTCAGTAACCGAGTTTTATAGTTCTGTAACCTTGTACTTTTTAGTTGTATTCATATTAGAGTTTTCCATATCTCTGGTATAGATATAGCGTCATTTCTATTACATGCGTTGGGTGTTGATTTGATGAACAAATATTCAGTAATCGATCTCTCTGTCTCTCTCTCTCTCTCCATCTAATTATATTGTACCTAATGTACAGTGGTTTATATTATACTTTGTGGTTGTGTCAATGCATGGATTGTAATAGTCAGATTTTTTCTAGAATATTGATCTTACTCGAATTTGTCATTATATATTTAGCTATATTCCTATGCTTCATTAATTCAAGAGACCCCTACCGGCTAGTTTGACCTAGCTACTCGACCTGACTCACAGTCAATACATGGAATTTGATAGATTAGATTATTTTGGTAAAATTGGTTCCATCGGATCCTCAAGCCAGTCGGCAAAGTTTATCTGTGAGTTTTTAGGTTTAAATGCCATCCTAATTACTACGTAAGGTTTCTGATGTACCTTCCTGATAGGATAACACACTAAAGGATGTGAACTTATTTCTACTCGTGTTGTTGTCATTATTTGCACTCGTGTTACTGTTATTACCTCGTTTCTTATGTGTTTGTACGGATTTCATGATAAACTGCAGGGGATAATTATTGACAACCAGAGCATCTTTTTTGTGTTTCAGTTCCTTGTGTAGATGCTTACACTGACTAGTCAGTTTTCTAGCTCTATCATTTAGACATTTGACTAAGTGTACCTTTACTGATACTGGATGAGATGACTTGAAGTCTAGATACCTGTTGGAATATGTAGGTTTTCTGTAGATGGTAGTATCTAAACCACCATTTGTTCTTCGTTTTATCCCGCAATCCAACAAAGGTAATTCTCCTTGTTCATTTTCTACGCCATGAGTGATTTGGATTACGCCTACTACTGAGTTTATATGTTTAAGGAAATCATCGATATGTTCCGACTTCAACGTATGGATTAGGTGGGGAGACAGAAAGAGAGAGATTGATTACTTAATCCTTGTTCATGGAGTCAGCATCCAACAAATGTAATAGGGACAATTAAGCAACATCTATACCGAAGATATGAAAAAGTTTACTACCAATAAGAATAATTCATATGAGTTGATGGGAATATAAAAATTGGTTGTTGAAAGTAGTGTGACTACACTAATATGATTATGAGCAGTAATAACTTATGCTTGAAACGTCATCAAGCAAATAATAATACTGTGTATTATAAAGTAAATAAACAAATGTGGATGTTAATACTTTATAAATTATAAATAAGATTATACAACTTACGTGAACGTTATTATTGAAAACAAAGTAGTTTCTCTTTAAATTCGTTTCTACATTTACAGAACAATATTCAGATATCAGAAAATATCTATTCCACATAATGACATCATTAAGAACTACTTACGTTTAGTTAAAATGAATAACTTGGTTTTTGTAGCATAAATTATTACATGTTATACTCTCCTGGGATAAAAACCTACAGACGCTGATCACCCTTACCACTGGATGAAGGTAATCTAACGGTATTATTATTATTTTATTATTTGTGCCTTGGGTTCCTAATGGAACATACAGATTCAGTAGCACGTCACCATTACACTCTCTTCTCTCCAATCTATATAACCTGGTTCCACGAGGGCCCAGAGGCTCTCATTTCCTCCTTACACAATAAACTCAATGTCACCCTCACCTCACACGCCAAACTCGTCTCTTCCCATCTGGATTCCACTCAACCACTTGGCCTGGCCTGATGCATCATGCCCCCAGTCGGTCTTCTCAGTGTATGCTCAATCCAATCCATCTACACCTCCTTCCACTGCATATTTGTTGAGTGAGAGGTTGTTGGTTGGTTCGTTGCCAGCCAGTCAGCCACAGTGAGTTCCTCCTTGCTTATTCCACTTATTCTGGCATCTACCTGATCTTCAGTATCGAGTGAGCGTAGGTGACAGTTGTTGATCAATGTCTATAGTTTTTTGGAAATACTTTTCGTGACGCGGTGTCAAGTCTCTCAACCATACAGAAGCACTGACTTGACGTTGTTACTGAAAATCCGGATATTGTTCCACATGCTGAGTACAGAAGATCTGCACACTGGTTTCAGATTAATGAATGCCTATCTTGCCTTTTCGATCCTTAATCTAACGGTAGAAAGAATAAAAACTTCTACTATTAAGTGACAAAATCTTAACACTTTCTACTGACGCCAATCCAAATCATATAGTCATACTAACTTAACCCAGCTCCTGCAAAAGAGTAGTCACCAGTTCAATCCTAATTTATCCTCACATTACTCTTAAAAAAGAAGCCATGATGTTTAGCTAGGATGTATGAACCAGATATTGTATCAGAATAAATGCTGAGGTTTACAATGAAACTCGAAAAATAATCCGTCATTGCAAGCACAGAAATCTTGTATATTAAGCTACTTACTTGTGACAAATGCTACTGAAGACTTATTGTTTCCATTGTTACTGAAATAACCAGAGCGTACTGACAGTTCGACTCCTTGTATGACTGCATTGACGCTACGTTTTGTTATTTTCAATGTCACAGAGTAACGAACTCATGACAAGAAAGATAAGGTTAAAAAATACGGTAACTATTAAAACTTAGTAATTAGGGTGATAAATTACAGTTACTTGATAAAATAAGCTTTTCATGAGTTTTACTGAAGAAGTTTACTTACATCTGTGAAAAGTATTGGGACCAAAGTGAAAAGTACAGAGAAAGTAGACACTGTGCTCAGGATAAAATCATCACAAGTATAAAGAGTAGTACATTCATTGAATAAGCCTGGACAGTCCATATATGTTTATTCATCAGTCAGAAGATTATGAGGATGAAGCCAGCCGAACCTTTTGCATTCTACATTATTACAAAAGGCTCAGCTGGCTTTTACTAACTTACGCCACCTGTTACACCGCCATGATATCTGATTGTCTATTAAGGGTCGAGTGTACTGTACAGCAGTCCACCCTGTTCTACTGTATGGCTGTAAAACATGGACATTGAAGGTTGAACACATGAATAGGCCTCAGTTGTTTGACCGCCGTTTCCTTCGTAGTATAGGCCGTATTCCGTGGTGTCACCAAGTGAGTAACGCAGACGTCAGGAATAAAGTTTTAGGGAGAAGAGATAAGTTGGTTGACGAGGTTGTGAACCTTCATCGACTAAGATGGTTGGGGCATGTGTTACGTATGCTTAGTCGCTGATTGCCTCGTCACACAATGTTGGGGGAAGTAGATCCAGGCTAAAAAAGGTTTGAGGTGGCCAGATTAAAACATGGCACCAATGTATGAAGTCACTGACTGTTAGTTTGAGCCATGTGGGGCGATGCAGACTAGGTGGTTGGGGTCCACAGGACAAGAGGAACCTGTGGTTGGAGACTGACTCTAGGTGATATGTCTGAGAACCAATGTCAGTGGCGCAGATGTATACATATATTATCCTCATCTTAATGATGCTACACCGAATCTCACTATTTTCTCATTCTCCCTTTCTCTGTTTTAGTACTTTATATTTTTTGACTGAATTTTCTTATCTTCATCTCCTATTTTACTACCTTATAACTTGATGCATTGACATGAGGTATGATAAGTTGGACCTTTCACGCAGTAATGCCTTGTCCTGTATTGATCTGATTGATGATGAATATAATAACAAAATAAGGGGCTTCATCAGAAATATTTTGAGCTAATGATGTTCTGTATGCGTTTACACCTGAAATATTGCAAAGAACAACTATATATATATATATATATATATATAGTACGGTTTTTCGATCTGTCTTTCAGCACCCTTAAATCATTTGAATATTGGCATTGCGTAGCTGAACTGTGTAAACAAGTCTTAAAATTTACTGGTTCATTTTTTCTTATCGCCTGAAATGGTGGAAGTGAATACTATTCATTAAAGAACTTTATTGAAAAATTACACTTTTACACTATCGGTGTTTGTTATCAGTTAATATCAATGGTAATAACGACATGAATGTAATTTTAAGTAATGTAAAAGTATTTTTTTTGATTTTATCAGTTAAAAGGTAACCACTTCAATGAAGACGTACTTTTCAATGACTGATAACACTGCTGTTTAATTTACCAACCAATATATATTTTGATAAACGTTATTTCACTACATATCTCAATTTTATTCTTATAGAATGACAAAGATCAGATTAAACGGAAAGAAAATGGTAGTCAACCCACAGAACCTCAAACACCTGAAGGTAAACATAATCGATATTTGATAAGTTATATTTAAAACTTTTGTTTTGTTTGTGTCAAATCTTAAGAATATTCAGGTGATCTAGGTTGAACTTTATAGAAAACCTCCATGATACATTTAGTATTTAGGTAATCATAATGAGTGGAATGAATCAACCCCCGTAAGTGAGTCAGATTTATAAGCTTACACTTTTTTCAAGTTACGTATGATATTGTGTTCAGTTGGAAACGACAACTTTTCCTTACTACGATGATATGCTGAGATGAAGGTGATGATTGAATATATATCCATGAATCAGTTTAGTAATCTCATAACACAAAAGACAATGGGTTACTCATCGGAATACTGTTGAACAATTTTGATTACCATTTCGTAGGCTATGAAATTATCTAGTCTCCATTGTTCTGCACTCGATGAAATCCATCAAACAATTTTTAAAATCTAGGCATTAAGCTTATTGATGCAACATTTTGGTGCACAGTAATATGGCCAAAGATGCTTGAGATCAAGCAGTAAGAGGTCATACTTTATCTGAATCTTGTATTTCTTGACACTTTTCAGCAATACATACCCAAAAGCATGAGATAACTGGTGTTTTCGCATTGATTGTAACCTAAATAAATAAATATTTTATTCTCATATTAGTAATTTAACATGAGAGAGGCCAGTTTATAGGCATTGATATATGTTGGAAAATTTATAAGATTTTACTGGATCTGAATGGTATGGAGTAGACGTCAGCAAATTTGAGTAAAAACATCAGAAGATTACACAAGTCATGAAATGAATAAGAAAATACCACTTTTCAGCATATACAGAGTGTTAAACTTTGGATCATTTTCAGTCATACTTTCTTTTTTCACCATTAGTGGCACCAAGGTCACGTAAAATCCCAAACTTCAGTAACAAGCAGTCGACTTGTTTGATTCGTTTTCACGATGCCCCGTTACGTTAGATAAACGTCTATTTTACCATAAATTCTTATGCTTATAGCTTCGAGTACCAGAAAAACCCACACTGACGACGTCGAGAGTCCGTAACTTTCCACATGATCATGTAATCCAAGTGAATATCTATTCAAGTGTTATCATTTCCTATTTTCTAAACAGCTTCACAATCAATTCACCTGGATTAAATGATTGCATAGATACTTACTTATTCCTGAAATTATTGAAGTAGGTTATTATTAGTCGATAAAGCTATGAACAAAAGAATCGGTGTTAAAATAAACGTTTAGCTGACGAAACACTGGGTTTAGCAGACGGGTCAGTCGTGTCGACTACTCATAACACAAACCTGTGTATATTATTTATTATTATAAGTCCCTTGGGTTCCTAACGGAACATACCGCTTCACTAGCACGTCTCCAGTAAACTCTCTTCTCCGAAATCTTTCCAACCTGGCTCCACGACAGCCCACAACCTCTCATTTCTTCCTCTCACCATCTCCTCCATGTCACCCTCACCACGTACACCCAACTCGTCGCTTCCCATGGGGATTCCACTCGAGTGCCTGGCTGGCCTGACGCGTGACGTCCCCAGTCAGCCTTCTTAGTGTATGCCCAATCCATCTTTACTTCCTTCTGCATATTTGTTGAGCATCCTCGTCTGTGCTACCGCCGCCTGTAGTTGAAACAGTGCTGCCTAGATAGATGAAGGAGGTTACTTCCTTTAAGTTTCCCCCGTTGATAGTGACTGGAGTTTGTTGTTGTTGTTGGAGTTGTTGGTGCGGTATCTTCATCACTTCTGTCTTCTCTATATTCACTTGAAGTCCCGTCTTCGCTGCTCTGTCCTGCCTCTTCTGACAACTTGTTAGTTTTCGCCTGTAGATCTTCAAGTTTGTGTGACATCACTGGCGAAATCCGAATCTTCTAGGTTCTTTTCCGCAATCCAGCCAGCGTATCTCCCTCTTCTCACAGCTCCCCACTGTTTGTTGCATGATCCACTCCAGTCGACCACAATCAGGAATATCATGAGTGATAGTAGACAACCTCGTTTCAGTCCTGTCTTCAATTCAAAAGCATCACTGAGCTTCCCATTGTGAATTACTGGGCATGTGGCGTCTTCCTATAGTTGTTGAATGTGGTTGATATATGTTTGCGGTATTCCGTAGTATTGAAGCAGTTTCCAAATTACCTCTCAGTCGACGCTGTCAAAGGCCTTCTCAAAGTCGATAAAGTTGAGGTTGAGTTGAGTTGACTGCCATTCTATACTCTGTTCTATGATGATGTGTAGTGTGGCGTTGCAATTTGGTCTGCACATGATTTGTACTTCCTGAAGCCTGCCTGTTCCAGTCAAACCTGTGTAACTTATTAATAAATTAAGAGATATAAGCACGGTTATCAAGGTAAACACTGAGACTATTCAGGACTAGATTAAATACAAGAGTATGTCACTAGTGGGTAATCCATGTAGCTGTATAGTCCTTAGTGCTATCTACTGACAACCCAAGCTTGAGTCAATTAGGGGGAAGCAGTTTCATCATAGTTGCAGACATGCTTCACTGATGAATATAGACAAGCATGAAACAGGGGTCTGGAGCTACCTTCTGAATGACTCCTTACCTAGGTCAAAAGTGATTTCACTTCTTACTCTTGCAATCAACTATCCCCATCCATTTCTGGAGATATTTAGGTGTAAACAGAGACCATTCGTCTTGAAGTGTGAATAACGAAATCTGTACACGTCCAGTTATATTTCGGGGAAATCTAAAATTTTTAACACTTAGTAGAAAGTGAATGTTGGCACTGCAGAATATGCGAATACTTAATCCGTTTGTGTGAAACTAGACGTAGAATGCAAATCAGCACCTCTTTCAGAATTATTATGATATTAGAATTATTGTGTGGATTTGTAAAGCAACACTGAACTTATAAAAGTTACTCAGCAAACAGTAAGATGATGGACCGACGATAATGTGAATCAAGCACTGCTCTTTTTCAGTCATGAAACTGCTTCTTTTGACACTGGCGTTTTTGTGATTTGTCGGCTAGATTTACTTGCTGATGCATTCTAAACAGAAGGAAATGAGTTTCCTGGATTGAACTACTAGGCTTTCCACATGTGTAACATTTGTAGTTTAAAGTGAATACAACTCACTAATTCACGGTACTTGTTCACTTTACATTGTATTCTGTCGACCATCTCATTGCAAATAAGAATGCATCATCATTGATTTCACACTAACACAACCTTCATCTTTATAGTCACAATTATAATTTTGAAATAATGGAGAATATTTGTAGCTCACTCAGGTGGATGATCTTGGTTGTATTGTGTTCTCTGAGTTGGGTTGTTTAGTGGAGAGGCTTTCATCATCTTGCTAGACAATATTTACAACTTTCAGGCATCGAAGTCTTCACCAGTGCAAGATGTCCACTGAGATCCACTAATAATATTGGTGTGTTAAAATTGTTGCAGGTGGTACAGTTGGAAATATTTGGTTCAAGACAATAAATATTTCAGTCAAGAAGTATGATTGTTTATCAGCGTGATGGATAGATATCTCAGAACCTCATCCCACTGACTATTATGAATTCTTGATGAGTACTTTTGAAAACACATTATTTGCCTACAGGCCAATTAATTATATTACATTATGGAATCAGATTACTACCATCGGATATCTTCGTGATTGTGGACGACTGGACTGGATCATGCAACCGACAACTGCAAGGAGCAAGGAGATGGGTATACACTGACCGGACCAATGAGAGGAGCCTGAAGGATTTGGATTTCATTGATGATTCATGTCTAATGTCACACAAACTTGGAGATGTATAGGCGAAAACTAAGAGGTTTGTGGAAGAGGGAGGGTAGCGAAGACGGGACTTCAAGTGAAGGTAGAGAAGAGAGAGGTGATGAAGATACCGAACCGACAACAGCATCAAAACCAAGCACCAATCACCACCAATGAGAGAAATGTGAGAGAACATTGTTTCTTCCACCCACCTACGTAGACAACATGCTTCCAACTACAGGTGGTGGTGACGGGGGCACAGACGAGGATGTCAAGGTAGCCAGGATCGGAGAAGCAAGATAGGACTTCATTAATCTGAAATCAGCGTGAGCATGCGAACAAGATCCAGATTCTCAACACTGATTCAGTGAAGTGAGCCAGTGCAGTGCTTCTATGTGATGGTTGAGAGACTTGGTGGCGCGTCACGAAAAGCATTTCCAACAAACTACAGCCATTCATGAACAGCTGCCACCTACATTCACTCGGTAGTGAAGCTCAGATGGACTGTCGGAATAAGTGGAATAAGCAAGGGGGAACTCATTGTGGCTGACTGGCTGGCAATGAACCAACCAACAACCTGTCACCCAACAAATGTGCAGTGGAAGGAAGTGTAGATGGATTGGATTGAGAATGTACTGAGAAGGCCGATTGGGGACATGACGTAGCAGGCCAGGGTTTCGAGTTGAATGCAAAGGATAAACGACGAGTTTGTCGTGTGAGGATGGTTGTATAGAGGAGATGGTGTGAGTAAAAATGAAGGCTTATGGGCGAATGGGGAGGCAGGTTGAAAAGACTGAAGAAGAAAGAGTGAAATTGTGATATGCTACTGAAACCTTAACACGTGTAAGATCGACACGTCTGCGTAGGAGCCTATATAGCAATAGAGACCGATCAATTCGGTCCACTAAACGACAGGATAATAAATGCAACCACACTAGTCATTTTAGTTTACCACTGTTTATCAAACAAATCTCACTTACAGCAAGTGACTTTCTTTAAGTTACAGAGCTTTCAGCTTCGTTAAGATTACTTTAATTAGTGGTTCGCCACTACCTATTTGTTAAAGTAGTGTATTTCACTCATATTCATGAAGCATCCACTTTTTATGATAAAACCTTTGTTTTCGGATAAGTGCAGCCATGCTGTAACTTTGTTTGTTTCATCTTTTTTGATAACTTTCATGAAGACGTATGAGATTTAGCGTTTTTGAGAATGGTTTCTCTTTAAAACAACAACCCACATATTAGTTGGTTGAAGGCAGTC